TTTAGTTGTTCTCATTGAGACCATCGAACCAAAAAGAGATTTTGAGAGACCCTCCAATGCTAAAGGATATTCCCTTCAAAAATTTTTCCATTGGAATAGTTGACCCGACACAGAGTAACACTGCAGTCTGGAACAGTATATCCCACTGGTCTTTGACCTTTTCAGAAAGTGAAAATGTGATCTTCCGCCCTTCGTTGGGGTGGTTTCGTGTCTTAATGAAAAAGACGTCGACGCCACGAGGCATCACCTGAAGTGATCCGATCGATGTGTAGACGTCCCAGAACTCTTGGACTGTTTGAAACACGGCTAAATTTGTGATCTTGTTTGTCGAGGATGACACTTGTTTATCGCACTCTTCCAACCACAGCTCCCACATTTCAGTTAGTCGTTGTTCCGATTCTCCATGCTTTGTGGGAACCCATGTCTCGTTATTACTCATTATATTCCAGTTTGTCCATTAATAATGCATATAATACTTTATACTATATATTACTAGAACCAATTACCTGTATTATAGCAATAGAATACGAATAGAAATAAAAAAGGGTTATTACAGTTTAACTCAAAAATTAATAACAAGGCTATGGAAAGTGAACCAACCGAATTATTTGGCTATGAGTTGTGGGTGGACCAATACATTAAAGCACGCCAACCAACTGAATTACAACTAAAACAAGAGTCGGACGAAGCCGCGCGAGAGTATACACGTGGTCTTTTTGAAAGAAAAAACAAACTTCGAAATTACAGGGAACAAGCAAGAGGCACAGACTCTGATGGGATGAAGGAAGTGATCAAAAGAGACTATGTGTATGATGTAAATAGAAACTATCGTGATCCTGAAATTGCACAAGCGATGCGTCAAGTTCGGAAAGAAAAAAAGACTATTATATTCCCGTATGCCGCCCCAACATCGCAACGAGACATTAGAAGTGCCAAGAAGTTGAGAACAAAAATTAACAGGGAGAATCGTCTCCTTAAAAAGAAACGTATACAAGCAAAGTATTTAAATGAAATGGAACAAATGAATTCTGACTCCGATTCAGAGTAATATTATCATCACACTACTATCGATTGACTCTTTTTTGAATATGGCGTTAATTACTTGGCAAATTGATAACTAAACTATTAATTTATTACAACACAAGCGTCAAATGGCATACCAGTTTGTCGCGTTGTTGAGAGCTTTTGTCCACTCGTTCATGCCTCCGTCGTCATTCGCAGCAAAAATATGACTCTCCACACCAAATGTGAATTTCCGTTCAAATTTGTCTTGAAGTGGTTTGGCGTGACCTTGTTGGAAGAGGAAGACGTCGATCAACGTTGGGTCCTCTGCCGACTTAAAGACAAAGAGAAATGTGTGTTTCAGAATCACAAAGACTTTCTTCCAATTCTTCTCTGATATCTTTTCAGTAACACTCTTCCCTTTCTTCTTGTCGCTTTTGTCATCTTTTTGATGTAAATAACACAAAACGCCTTCTTTCTCACCTTTAAGACGGTCGGGGCCTATCCGACCATATAATGCATTTGCTAGTAACTCCACTCCACTCTTCGTCCCCATCAAAAACGCTTGGATCTTCTCAATCTCTTGAACAGCAACTTTATTTCGCTCCGCATAATTTTGGACTTGCTCTTGAATGACGGATATACGCTTCGCCTGATTTTCTAATGTACTTGAAAAGTTACTCATCGAGATCTCCGAGGGTTTTTTGTCCACTTTGAGTTCGGTCGATTGGAGACTCTTCTGTATCTCTTCGACCAAGCACGTCAAATCTTCTTTTTGGTCCTCTTCAAACGTCTCTGATGTGCAAACATCCTCGACTATTTTATTCAAAATGACGTATGTCAACGACAAGTCCGAAATCGTTTCGTAATCTTTAATTTCGTCATCCGTTACAAGTTTCATTGAAGGACACACATTCACAAAAGATACTCCGGGTTTCATAGCTTCTGGGTCGATCTTATAGTTATCATAAGGTGGAGTCTTCTCAAGAAACTCCGATAAAAACATTAATATTTCCGAGTGGAGTTCCGACACATCTTCAAGCCATGGATGATTCTTTAGTGTATCAAAACTCACTTTCCCCATGGGCACTTCATCCATACAACACATCAAAAACTGTTTGCATTCATCAGAAACCTCTTGTGGAAAATCAGTCTCTTTGATTACATCTTGCGCGCAGCTCTCCGTCCCACAGAAAACTCTCCCAGTGAGTAACTCGATCAATGCAATTCCTAAGTTCCACGAGTCTCTACTGGTCGTCGGAGAGTTAATCAACGATTTTCTATTCTGCTGCACAAATTTCTTTGGTGTGCAGATCTGCGACTTTCTCACAGAGGGAGGGAGTAATCCGATTAATTGCAATACTCCTTTGGAATTAATAAAGGTGTTAATCAGAGAGAGTTTGTCATATATGACATGAGCATTTGAAAGCGCCTCCAGCGTGTTCACAAATTGCATTGCGATGATCTTCACTATATGTTCCGGGAAGAGCACAAACATGTTGACGTAGTCCGAAAGTTGTCCAAGAGCATAGAAGTCTATGATGATGAACGTGAACCCTCCCTCGACTTGTACGACGTCTCGGTACTGAATGATCCCTTTCACGTCTTTGTCGTAGAGGTATTCAACTGTTTTCAACAAGTAGTCATCACCTCCGTTATACATCTGATCAGTCACTAAGATGATTGACACAATTTCCTTTGTCGAAGTATTATATCCACTATATAACAAGCCAAGTTCAGTTTCGCCTAATAACATGCCTCTTGAGTATTTTCCAATGACCGCTGGCACCATATCTTCTAGTACACACTGTGACGATTTCGCAGGCTTCAGTGAATTCATCGGAAGCATTGCGTCGTATAGATTTTATAGTTCATTTTACTCATTATTTATTTGAACAAAGGAGTAGTTTCATGTAGTTTAATTTACTATTATTATATAGTTTCTTCCACTAATGTCAATCATAATTTTTAATAGAAAAGAAACTAGAATTGCATATGTTTGAAGACCCACTGATACAAAACAAAGACTTTGACGACACTCAAGACTTTAACACCGAAAGACCATGCGACAAACTTGGGTTTAGACTTTCATCAAAACAGGTT